GACCCCACTTGGGACAAGCGTGTAAAGAAAATGGATAGACAAACTTTATTGTCCTTTTGTATACACAGAGCAGCCGCTGTTGTTGCCTGGGGCCTTCTGCGGGTTGACTCTCCTCAGAGTCTTCCACAAGTCCACCGTGTCAAGGCAGAGTGCCTCCTCTCCCTGATGGGGAACAGCTTTCGCTGCTAGACTTGGCATGGTCCAAGTTGACTGTCGCTGACCTCAGTGCCTCTTTGTCAGCTGACTTGAAGGCCGAGTTCCATGCTTTTAGCGTTTGTCGAACCTCCTTAGTCATCCAGGGTGGTTGGTTGGCCCGGGTGATGACGTTCTTTGTGGTGCTGATGTCCTCAATGCATTTCTCGATGTACGCTGACACAGTCATGACAAACTCATCAATATTGATCTTGTGCTTATATATTGCTGCAGATTTAAGCATGTTCTAGTACGAGCATTCAAAATAGTCCTAAAGTGCTCTCTCAGTCAACACCCTCACCTGCCTCCCTGTAGATTTTGCTCTAATCAGCAGGGAATTGTACGCAGGAAATTAGCATTACAGATAAGTGGTCTGAAGAGCCGAGGTGGGGACGGGGAGCTGCTCCGAATGCAACTTTTATTATGGTGTAGACCAAGTCTAGAGTGATCTGTCCTAGAGTTACAAAATCCATGTTGGTTAAAATGAGGGAGAACAGTCTTCAAAATGGTCTGGTTAAAATTCCCTGCAATGATAAAAATTCTCTCTGTGTTTGCAGATTGAAGCTCAGCGATAGTCTGATAGAGAACACAGGTGGCCTCTTCAGTATTGCTGGGAGACACATGCATGGCAGTGATGCTCAATTCAGTTTGTTTATATAATGCTAATTCACAACACACGTCATCTCAAGGAAATCTAAGGAAAACCAGTCGATTGTATCGACTCATTGACTCGAAAGCAATCCCTCAAACCAAACAGTATAGAGGAAAAAATATCTTTTAACAGGAAGAAACCTTAAGCAGAACCAGGCCCAGTGTGAGAGGCCATCTGGTAAAACCGACTCGGCTTAGGGGAGA